GGAGTTGAAGTCCACGAGTCATAAAAGAGCTAAGGTTGACTACCCCTGATCTAACAGTTAGTTTTCATTTCCATTATGAATCTAAATCCTAAATATGAAATCAGTCAACTGGTTCATATTTCTGAGGGTCGCAGTGTCCCGGTGGACAAGCAAAGTCAATGGGGGAAGCCAGATTCACTTAACAACCATGTTACTAACTTAACGGCTGCAGTGATTCGCTTAACCAATGGAGCAAGGAGAGTTGTAAAAAATTTCTCACTTAGCAATGTAAATCTTGGGCTCCATTGTGGTCATAAGTCGGGGACTACTTGCATTCTGTTTGTTGTACATTGACAGAATCTTGCAAGAATGAAAGTACAATTCTTCCTCTCCCCCCCCCCACGTCTCCTTTACAGCCTGAGAAACTGGGGGGGGGGGTGTTTCCTGACCCCATTTGTCCTGTCCACTCTCTTGCTGCTGGCTAGGCTGTTTCTTATCTGATTGCTTCCTTGACAGCGTCCCTCCACCCATCCTCTCGAGGCCTCTGCCACACACCATTACACCACACTGACTTTTAAAAGTTGCCCCACATTTCTCTCCTGAAGCTTGGGGGCGTCGGCGAATGTCAAGTGCAAGCGGTGTTGCAAAATGGGATTTAAGGCAGGCCCTGAGAAAGATAGAGAGATAAATTGATTAAATAGCTTTGCTCTTTGGTTGCTTTAGGTCCGGCATTTATCCCACACTTCTTAGCCTGAGCGGCTTGCATAGTAAGATAGCCCTCTCTTTAATACTACAGGTAGTCCTCGACTTACAACAGTTCATTTCGTGACCGTTCAGAGTTAGTCACTTGTGACCGCCTTTCACACTTACGACCAGGGCGGCATTCCCGGGGTCACATGATCAAAATTCAGACGCCTGGCACCTGACTCGTGTTTATGACAGTTGCAGTGTCCCGGGGTTCACGTGATCCCCTGTTGCGACTTTCTCACAAGCAAAGTCAATGGGGAAGTCAGATTCACCTCAGGACCGAGTTTCTAACTTAACAGCTGCAGTGATTCACATGACAACTATGGCAAGAGAGGTTGTAGTAATGGGGCAAAACTCACCTCACAAACGTCTCACTTAGCGACAGGCATTTTGGGCTCGGTTGTGATCGTATCTTGAGGACATCAGAAGACATAACATAAAAGGAAAGGGAGGGAGGTGGGAAGAGGAACGTGTGGTATTCTAGGCCTCAGTTGCTAATCTCCCTCAGAACAAGTGCTAACTGCTATACACACTGCAGCATGGTACCTTAAAATTGCCATCCAGAGATTTAAAATTGCATTGTGTAGTTTATGGATGGCATTGTCTGGAGTTCCCTCTGCACAATTCTTACTTTTCCCCTTCCTATTCTGTATAACCCAAAGGCAACGGTTTTTAGGGGAGGAAACACCTGTTTTATCGCTCTGCTGGGGTCCGTTCCTTCCTCTTGGAGGCACAGTCCCTTCCAGTGCATGGTGGTTAATGCAGTTTGTGACCAGGATTAGTCAAAGTTGTTGAAACTGTTTACCTCAGAGGTCCCCAACCTTTTGGGCACCAGGGATCGATTCCGTGGAGATAGGTTTTTCCACGGACCGGAGGGTGCGTGATTTTGTGTGCTGCCTGCATCCTGCGGATGGGACTTTGCTTGTTTGTGTGGACCGGTTGCTGGCATGCCACGGCCCAGTAGTGGTCCACGGACCGGGGGTTGGGGACCCCTGGTTTACATGACAGAAAATAGGTGCTTGATAAGGGAGATGGAAATGGGAGAATTGAGGGCAGGGTTTTGTTAAATTACACAGAAATTTGTTCACATTGTTCACAGAGGTAATTTACCTTCCCTGCAGGACTCTACACAGTGAACTGAATTTTTGAGACATAGTTAGTCCTTGACTTACAACCATTTGTTTAGCGACCCTTCAAAGCCACAACGGCACTGGAAAAAGTGACTTACAACCGGTACTCACATTTAACCACCCTTGCCGCATCCCCACGGTCTCGTGATCAAAATTTAAGCGCTTGACATGTGTCTATCATGGTTATGGCATGCTAGGGTCATACGATCGCCATTCATGACTTGCCCCGCCAGCAAGAGTCAATGTGGGAAGCCCGATTTGCTTAATGACCGTACGATTCACTTAACTGAGTTTAACAACCATGGCAAAAAAGATCCTAAAATTTGGCATGACTCACTTAACAGCCGCTTTGCTTAACAACAGAAATTCTGGTCCTAATTCCAGTCATAAATCAAGGACTACCTGTATTCAGTTATCTTCCAAGCTGGAAAACGACTGAAAGTTACATAAGTTTTCTAAGCTGCGGGTCTCCAAACATTTTTTGGATCACTTTATCCTGAGCAATAAAGGGGTTTTTTTTATACCCCCCCCCCAATATGCTAGGTGTATTTATTTAGAAATTATACAGTATACCTGTACGACGCTGCTAAGAAATTACCTACATTTTAAAATTTACCCCACATATATTTTGTATCTCCTGATATTATAAGAAATTATATTAATTTCTTTCACTCTTTTTAAAGATTAAATAATAAATATAAATAGACAATTTATCTCTTTTTTTCACACTCCAGTTAACTGCCTTGTGGTTCCTTTGAGACGTGTGCCCCTCATTCTGGGGATGATTGTCCTAAATCCGTAGGGACTCCAAGGCAAATGCGTTGAGAGCAAAGTCAGGAGTAACCACATGAGCTCCCTAAAGTAAATGATGCTGTGAGCTCAATCAAACCGTGATCTCCTCTTCAAGCGGCAACAAATAATGGTTTGGAAGTGTTATCAATGCTCCCCTCTTTAATAGCCTCCCTCCCCATGTGTCTGGATCTAATCCTACCAAGCGCTTGCTCTAACAGGTCAGTGTTTGGCTGACATCACATCTATCTTCCTCCCTGCCTCCCTTTTTCTCATTCCCATCTCTCTCTCCCCCCCCTCCCTCCTTCCCTTTTCTCATTCCCAACTTCCTTCCTTCCTTCCTTCCTTCCTTCCTTTTTCTCATTCCCATCTCCCTCCCTTTCTCCCTCCTTCCCTTCCTTTTTTTCATTCTCAGCTCCCTCCCCTTTTCTCATTCCCATCTTTCCTTCCTTCCTTCCTTCCTTCCTTCCTTTTTCTCATTCCCATCTCCCTCCCTTTCTCCCTCCTTCCCTTCCTTTTTCTCATTCCCATCTTCCTCCCTCCCTCCCTTTCTCATTCCCATCTCCATCCGTTTCTCCCTCCTTTCCTTTCTTTTTCTCATTCCCATTTTCCTTCCTTCCTCACTCCTCCCTCCCTTTTTCTCATTCTCAGTTCCCTCCCTTTCTCCCTCCTTCCCTCCCTTTTTCTCATTCCCATCTTCCTTCCTTCCTCCTTCCCTTCTCTTTTCTCATTCCCCTCTTCCTTCCTTCCTTCCTTCCTTCCTTCCTCCCTTCCTCCCTCCCTTCCTCCCTTTCTCATTCCCATCTCCGTCCCTTTCTCCCTTCTTTCCTTTCTTTTTCTCATTCCCATTTTCCTTCCTTCCCCCCTCCTCCCTCCCTTTTTCTCATTCTCAGTTCCCTCCCTTTCTCCCTCCTTCCCTTCCTTTTTCTCATTCCCATCTTCGTTCCTTCCTTCCTTCCTCCCTCCATCCCTCCCTCCCTTCCAAATCCTTTCATCTCAACAAATGACCCTGAGTGGCTGCCTCCTTGATGAACTTTCCGATATTTTAGAATTACCTTACATGGTCTACATCCCCTCCCTCCCTTCAAAGACGGCATAAGCAACAGAAAGGCAGAAGAGAGGCTCCTACACAGATCCAAACGCTGCCCCCCAGATTGGAGCTGTGGTTCAGTTCTTGATGTCCTCTCATTTGTCTTCTGCCCCTTTGATTTTGCCTGGGGAAAGGAAGAGAACAAGTCAACAATACTGTATCTGTTTTATTCCGTTGTGTGTTTCTTGCTGCTGTGTCTTTTTTTCTGTTGGTAAAGCTGTGCTGCAGGCTTCTGACCATCACTTAAAAACCTCATTCATTCATTCATTCATTCATTCATTCATTCATTCATTCATTCATTCATTCATTCATTCTCTCTTTCTCTTTCTATTTTTTTATATATTTTTATTGAAACTTTAAAAAAGTAGTGGAAAAACTAATCCAAATACGGAAGAAAAAAAAAGAAGAAAGCAAAGAGAAAGCAAAAAGGGCCAGAAAATTTAAGAGAAAGAAGAAAAAAAAAAAGATACGAAGAAGCGGCTTCTGATATACTTCACAGCAGTTTTAGGAACAATTATATTTTAACCCCTGTCTCTAAAGTTACATCGTAATGCTCTTATTTTCTATCATCTATCTAGTCTAATCAACAAAGCCACACATGACCACCTCATTTTTCTTGTCATTTTTATGCAAAAAAGTCCCTTAAGATGTTTCTAGTCACCCATTGATGGAGATTGTGTCTTTTCCTCTAATTAAAGAAGTTAATTTATCTCTTTCTCTCTTTTTGCTCTGAAAAATTAAAGTGACTCTCATCCAGGGAGACATCAGCAAGCCAGAGGATGTGAAGCCAGCAGTCAAAGGCGCCCATGTGGTCATTCACACGGCCGGTCTAGTGGACGTCTGGGGCAGAGTCCCACCTGAGAAGATCATGGCAGTTAATGTGCAAGGTATGTTTTGGTGGGAAAACCTTCGAATGTCTGACCAGTTTCTCTACACAACCCAAATCAGATCAAAATGCTCCTTCTGAGTTTTTGGAATTTGTCTCAGCAAGAAGGGTGGGGCAGGTGCACACAATTAATTGCATGAGGAAAAAAAATGTTTTTGTTGCTGAATCTGCTTGCCTTTATGGAGGTTGATGGAATTGTGTCATCATTGCATCCATTCATACACACATCCATTTTGTTGAATGGAACCTTCAGCGCTGTGCTTTTTTT